TATTCTTGATGTTCCTGATATTGATCAAAACTTGATTAGTGTGGCCAATTGATTGAGAAATGTTACACTTTGATATTCAAAGACAAAAGTTGAACTATATTGGACAGGCATAATCAAGAATTGATGAATGTTGATATGAAACACAGAAGTTTTCCTTTTCAATGGAAAAATGTAACCAATCCGGCACTGACCAGTTTAGTGATTGATTCTTCACTTTGGCATAAACAGTTTGGACATGGTAATTTCACTTCACTCAAGCAATTAAACAAGCTGGAACTAGTTGAAAACATGCCAGATATATGTGATAATGGCTGTGTTTGTAATATATGTCAACTTGGAAAACAAACCAGATTTCCAATATGTCAACTTGGAAAATAAATCAGAAGTCAAGAAGATCCACAAAAAGCTGGAATTAATCCACTCTGATGTGTGTGGTCCAATGAGAACTCCAACACTCAATGGCAGCAAATATTTTGTGCTTCTTATAGATGATTTGACAAGAATGTGTTGGGTGTGTTTCTTGAAAATAAAATCAGAGGTTGCAGATGTGTTCCAGAAATTTAAGAACCTTGTGGAAAATGAAAGTGACTGTAAAATCAAGGCTATCAGATCAGACAATGGTACTGAATATTGTTGTAACCAGTTTGACAAATTTTGTGATGATGTGGGAATCAAACACCAGTTGACCGTACCTTATTCTCCTCAGCAAAATGGCTTTTGTGAAAGGAGAAACAGGACAGTGATGGAGATGGCCAAGTGTTTGATGCTTGAGAAGAATGTGCTAAAGGAATTTTGGGCTGAAACTGTAAACATAGCTGTGTATCTACTCAATAGATTACCTACAAAAGCCTTGGATAAAAAGACACCCTTTGAAGCATGGTATGGAGTAAAACCTGATGTTGCTCATTTGAAAGTATTTGGCAACATTTGTTTCACTCATATTCCAGATTTAAAGAGGGATAAGCCAAGTCAAAAGGTAGAGATTGGTATTTTGGTTGGATATTGTGGCAATGCTAAGGGGTTTAGAGTATACAATCCACAAACCAAGAAAATCATATCCANGTTAATGAGCAAACCTTGTACAGAAAGAAGTTGGAAGAGAAGTCAATCATCATTTCCCTGTATGTAGATGACCTTCTAATAACCAGCAGTAACAAGGTCTTAATTGACAAAGCAAAGGCTGAAATGATGAAGGCATTTGAAATGACAGATTTAGGGGAGATGAAATATTTTCTGGGAATGGACATAAACCACTCACAAGATGGTATTTTTATCAGTCAAAAGACGTATGCCAAGGAAATTTTGAAGATATTCAGTGTGGAAAATTGGAACCAGTAAGTACTCCTCTGGTTCAAAAAATAAAGTTGGTGAAGGATGATGGAAACAAAAAGACTGATGAAAAGGTATATAGAAGTTTGGTTGGACGCCTTATGTATTTGACGATCACAAGACCAGACATCACTTTTGCTATAAATTTGCTATCCAGATTTAGGCAAGAGCCAAGTGAGTTACATTTCCAAGCTGCAAAGAGGGTCCTGAGATACATCAAAGGGAATGCTGAAATCGGAATTTGGTTTAGAAAGTCAGAAATCATGGATTTAGTTTGTTATGCTGACAGTGATTGGGCCGGATCTTTAGATGATATGAAGAGCACCTCTGGATATGCTTTTTATCTGGGATCAAGTCTAGTTTGCTGGAACACAATAAAGCAAAAAATGGTAGCTCAATCAATAGCAGAAGCAGAGTATATAGCTGCATCAAAGGCCACTAATCAAGCTATTTGGCTGAGGAAAATACTGGAGGATTTGGATGCTAAACAAACTGATGCAAATGTCATTTTTTGTAACAATCAATCAGCTGTAGCCATGGTAAAAAATCCGGTGTTCCATAGAAGAACAAAACACATTAAGATCAGGTATCATGCAATCAGGGAAGCACAAGAAAATCACAAAGTGAAGTTGGTGCACTGCAAAGCTGAAGACCAATATGCTGACATACTTACCAAGTCCTTGTCCAAAGGAAGCTTTGAAACGTTAAGGAAAAGCCTTGGTATTTCCAGCAAAAATGTCAAGGAGGAGTATTGACATCTATTGTCATTTTTGCTGTCATATTTTGTAGCAATTATATGTATTATAATCAGTTATAATGTTTATTTTTGGTGATTAAAATCACTATCACAACATGGTTTATTCTGTCAACAGGTAAGGTTGTAGTTGGTAGGAAGTTGTTGACTAGAAGCAAGGTAGTAAGCTTTTGTAATATATATATATATAATGGCAGCAGGTCATGGGGCTTAATGTACTGATATTTTCCTCAGAAAAATCTATCTCTTCCTCTTTGTTCTACAAAACCATCAGGCCTTAGTGTATCAACAAGATTGGCTGCAAATCAGATCAACCACCCTATAGTCGTACTTTTCTTTGGCGGCCAGGATGATAGAGAAGCATTAGCATATGCCAAGAGGATGTGCGAGCATCCAGGAGTCAATCTCACTGTCATGCGCTTCATCCCAGGTGAACATGCGTTTGATCATACGGCAAGTGGGCGTGAAATATTGACTGTGGTAACAGATACTGATAGAGACAAACAGCTAGACGAGGACTACATCAACGAGTTCAGAGCAAGAACCGTGAATGATGGTTCCATAGTTTACACCGAGAAGGTGGTGAATCACGGAGAAGAGACCGTAGAAGCAATAAGATCAATAGATCCCATTCATGACCTTTTCGTAGTAGGTAGAGGACAGGGAATGATATCTCCTCTCACAGCCGGGCTTACGGACTGGAGTGAGTGTCCCGAGCTCGGTACAATTGGAGATTTATTAGCATCATCAGATTTTGCATCAATGTATTCAGTTCTTGTAGTGCAACAGTACGTAGGAATGGATGTGCATGAAGATGAACTTGGCACGCCGGACAGCCCACATCAGCAACACGACCACTTCGAGTTACCCAATATGAACCGAAGGCCACCACCGAGAGGGCAAGCTATATTCCAACCACAACTTTAAAGTTCGCACCGAAAGCTAAGCCTGCCATGACGAAACATTTATGGAGTTGAAACTTTGTTTTTCTTTGTTTTTATTCCTTCCCTTGATTTGAATTGTAATGATGTACAAAGCATTCTCATCAACAAAATTCTAAGTTTTGCAGTACATTGAAACAATTAAATGAAATAGATACTAACTTGACCAATTGCAAAATATACTCAATTTTACAACTCAAACAAAATAGTCTCCTATTCAATTTCTTCTTCAAATTGCCAACTCACTTAGCACCTCCAAAATCAGCTTCACTGAATTCCTCAGCTATTGCACTTCCTCGTCCATAAGATGCACATTGGTCATACTAAATTCCAATTCTAAAAGTTGGAATCCAATTCCGAATATCAGATGCAAGGTTCATACTAGTGTTTTTCTAATTATTTCAAAGTTTTTTTGACTTGTCTTCGCCCCCATTGGAAAAAATGCATTTTGAAATAGTAGTTTGATAGAGAATTAGAGGTTAAAAAATAAAGAAAAGTTTTGAATTTGCATGTAATATTATTTTATTAAAAAATGTGATTAAAAAAATGTATTTTGAAAAAAATAAGAACCAAACACACTAGGGAAAAGGAGAATTACTAGCTTATTCAATGTTGCACTGGTCTTGCAATAAATATCAGTTAGTGTTCAAAGGTTGTCCATGTGAAGAATTTGAACATCCGGCAAAAGTGAGGTCGACGTCAAATTTATTGAGATGTGCTTGGTTTACAGTTGTTTTTGTACTAAAATATTGTTGTAATATATGAATTAACATGTTTAATGTCATTGCCAGCAATATTCTAAAATATGATAAGGGCGTCGTATATTGAGTAGTAGACTTAGTAACATCCCTTTCACATTGTTTCCTGAAAGGATTTGAGAATCATTTAGGACCTATTTGATAGGCTCCAATTTCATGAAAAATGGACTCAAATGGTGTGTTCGATGGGTATAATTTTTCATGGAATTGGTTTTTCCATACTGTCCCTCACGGCCCCCACGTGACCCCTTTTCTATGTTTTCAAGGAATTGATTTTCCTTTGGTTTTTGTGAAAATTGGTTTTCGAACTTTTTTTTCCCTGTCAATTGGAATAAGTTCTATCCATAATTATAATAAATTATATCCCTTTAATTGACAATTTTCATGAAAAACAAAGCCAAACAAATATCAAAATATAGAAAATTTCAACATTTTCAGGTGAAAAATTATACCATCAAACACATTTAATTGACAATTCCCAATAACAACGAGTTTTACAAAATTCAATACCCTGTAATTCGTTTTCTTTCCACCCAAATTCCATTCTTGCAATCAAACGAGCTCTTAAAAGATTTATGAATAACTACCTCTTTTCAACATGATCGAGCTTAATCATTTTCAATCAATTAATTTGTACCATATTTTTCAATCCTATCCGCGAAGAAACACATGGAGGATATAATTCCGAAGGTTTAATCATTAGATGCTACGAACACAAATATGAATGAATACATATAAAATCAACCTAAATTGCTTCTATTCTGGCCAATATAACTCCAGCAGTAACGTAATTAATTTAGATTGTCTAAAATTATTACAAGAAGCAAGCTAACTACAACAGATTACAACACAAAGAAAACCAGATTGGAGAATGAACATTTTTAATGTTAATTAAGACACTAATTATCACTCACTTTGAGATCAAGAAACTGGGACTGTAGAAATAATAGGCACGCCGCCCAAGATTAAATCCAAATGGCACGATAAAGCACTGGTCAAACAAGCAGTCTTGCAAACCTCAAACGATAGACCTCATTCACAATTGATCTTCATTCAGTGTGTAAAAGGGGATATTGGTAGACATGAAGCAGGTTTAAATTCATATTTGGTATATCTCATGTCGTAAAGATGCTCCAGTGATGATCGGAGGGCAACGTATCCTTTATCTTTTCGAGCATCTTCAATATCTCCAAGAAAGGAGGTCTCAGATTCATATCTGCTGCCCAGCACCTCTCAATTAACCTACATGTCCAATTCAGTAGATTATCAGAATGTCAAATATTCAAATGACCACGGTGTCTGCTAAAAACATTTTTGCAGTAAAGTTGGCGGTTGCACCAATGTGTTAAAAAAAGTATATGAATTAATTTATTTTAAGGTCCAATTTACAGCTGTAACACTGGCCATAGTTACACATGCACACACTATAAGATATTATAGACCACACTTACTCTCTCAAATCTGGTATAAAACCTTTTGCCCTAAAATTTGGCCTATGTCCCTCTGCCACATATCTAGCGGCTTCATATGGTTTGTAATGTGACAGTGGCGGTTCACCTTCAAGCATCTGCATTAGTTCACAGGTCTCTGGATTATATTCCAATCAGTTATGGTTCCATTCTATTCTAATTTAGGACAAACAACAAAATTACCTCATATAAGATCATTGCAAAAGAGAAAACATCGACCTTCTTGTCATATTTCCGGTGCTTGAAGACTTCAGGAGCCATATACCGGTCTTATAGTTGCAAAAAATACAGAATTAACTACCGTTGTAAAATTATCAGCTTTATTAACAATTCACAAAATAGTTACTTACAGCTACCAGTTTCACCAGTCATTTTGTACACATCGTGAGAATTTTGCACCCTAATAAGCTTGCTTGATCTAAAGTCTCCAACTTTCAAACGTTTTGCACTAGAGTTGACAAGAAGAACATTCCTGAAAAAGTACCAGAGTCAGTTTGGCAGTTACTGGGGAAAGAAAGATTTTCCCAGGAGTTCCCAATAGAATGAGAATGATGTGCAAGCATTTTAAACATGGGTTTGGGTTGAGAGACATGATTATAGATATGTAAATAGTTCTTCGACAACATATGTTCATGTCCTCCAAATTGTATTCAGAAGACCAGCTAACCTTGGTTTTAGATCTCTGTGTATTATAACATTTGGCTCGCTGTGAAGATAAGCCATGCCTCTGCCAAAACAAGATTTATGAAATTTAGCATACTAAGTTCTAAATTACAGCATAAATTAATTTGTTTAAATATTAGACAATCATCCCATATTCTTAAAGTAGGCTTTCCGGTCATGACACCAATATAATTCAAGATCAAGAAATAAGAAATATCACCCAAAGCACACATCATATTAAATTTAATCAAATTAAAAGAAAACTTATTCATAAAAGACATACCCCCCCCCCCTCCCCCACACACATTTTTACTTGCCAAGATGTGTAATGTCAGATTTTCATCCTGAATGTTGATTATTGGCCGCTAATCCAAATTATTTTATACCACACCTTAGAAGCATGCATGCCAATCCATTGCACCAAAGAAAAATTCAATCTCAATAAGCAAATGTGATAGGCTTCTCTCTAATAAAAATGCAAAACTAAACCATGTGCTTCGGGCAACAGACAATTTCATCAGTAATTTGCCTATGATTGAGATGCTCCTGACGGACAACTGACATGATAAAAGGGTTTGGAAGTTTTTAGTAAACCGAAACAAAGACAATAAATTTGATTCCAATTTTACCTGGCAATATCTAATGCAAAACTGACAGCTGTTGATGGATTGAGTGCCCCCTTTTCCTTTAGGTATTGATGTAGATCCCCCTATAAAAGAATATGAATTTTCACTTAGGATAGGACTCTCCATTGTCGGAATTAAAAAGAAATTCTGCTTCAACATGGGAAACAAATTCACTTACACCCCTCAAATACTCGGTAATTAGCATTAAGGGCTTCCTTAGAGTGACCGCACCAAGAAATTGGACTATATTTGGATGGCGAAGTTTAACTAGCAAATTCACCTCATGTCTGAAGTCCTGGCTGCATCAAAAAGGAAAATGATTTGAATATAGCTATGATTGGTTAGTAGAGTAGAACTCAAAGAAATTTACATTATGTAAGTCACGACTACTAATCAAGCTAACGAAGATAAATTCTCTCTTTTGAACCAGGAATAAAAAATAAATAAAACTGCCACTCCCAAAAAAATTAAAAGCATGACCATACATTCTATTCGAATCAACACAATCTATTAGTAATAATAAGAAATAGGAAACGTAACATCGTAACCATGCCATAACAAACTTAACCCAGTTATGAAACATACATCACCAATCTATCATCTGAGAGGTTTGGAAGAATTCGTTTGACAGCTACAGGTGTTCCCCTCCAACTAGCTTTTATTATCTCCCCAAAAGAGCCCTACCAATATCAGCCGTATTCAGGAACTTATGCATAAAGATATAAATAATACTCACAAATCAACTTACCAAAGCCAAATAACAAACAATAATGAAAAAAAAAATATTTGATATGTAAACAAAAAAGAGCATTCCATAAAAATAAGTAACATTTCCAACACATAGTTATATAGAAAAATGACGGCACGTCATGCTCCCCACCTGCCACCCCAACCAAAATAAATAAAAGAAAACCAACAAATCTTTTGAGGAAATGACACTAATATGGAAGAAAGATGGTATTGTGCCAATAAAGAGAGCAATCACAAAACACTGACATTATACAAGAAGCAAAACATAAAAGAGCCCAGGGATAATGAAAAAAAAAATATTTGATATGTAAACAAAAAAGAGCATTCCATAAAAATAAGTAACATTTCCAACACATAGTTATATAGAAAAATGACGGCACTGTGCCTTAAATTTATCATTTGGGAGGTCATGCTCCCCACCTGCCACCCCAACCAAAATAAATAAAAGAAAACCAACAAATCTTTTGAGGAAATGACACTAATATAGAAGAAAGATGGTATTGTGCCAATAAAGAGAGCAATCACAAAACACTGACATTATACAAGAAGCAAAACATAAAAGAGCCCAGGAATGCAATTCTTGAGTACATTCCACTAATTATTAAATATACAAACAAATTTATTTCTGACTAAAATCCTCAAATCCAACTAAATAACCTACTTCTCAACAGTAAATGTAACTTCTTCAAATATAGGTTCTACTTCGTTCTGAATTGATGCAGACCACTACATTGGTGAAAATAATAAGATGATTCTAACTTAAAATATAGACAGAAAATATCGATATTTTGTGTCATTAACAAACAGTATCAAATTAGTTATTATCTACTGCACCGAACTGAACATTGACTAGTGGACAAGGAAAAGAGTTAAATCAGTATTTTTGTAATACAGACCTTCCCTATGGTTGCTGCGCTTGAGAAGTCCAGTTCACTGGGATCAATCTCCCAGTCACACTTATTTGGAAGAGGGGGTGGAACAGGCCTTGGTTCAAAATGGCTTCCATTCATCCCCTTCAATACACGCAACAAAACTAAATTAATAGAAAAGGGGAAAAAAACGAAATTATGCATGATATTGTATATATTAAGAGAACAGATGATGAACATAACTTAAAATTCAACTGAGCGTGCATGTCATGAATCTCACGACCACATTCATACAGGCTTGAGTAGCTCAGGGTTGGCTTGTGAAGTGCTTGTTCAAGCTCAGGTTGGAAAAAAGAAATTAAGCTTGAACTAGTTTCTAGGATTCTATAGCTTCTCAGCATTACAGCTAGTAAATATAAAGCAAATCAAATAAATTGCTTGAACTTCGACAAATCAAGAATCCATTCAAGCTCATGAATAGTAATCAAGTCAAGGCTTAACATTTTTTAAACTTGTTATATTACCACTTGAGGAACCTAACAATCAGCAGGGCTCATTTCACATTGATTCTTCCAAAGCATAACATCATTTCAATTTTTGTTGTATACCTTTTATAAAAAGAAAAATAATGATGAGTCTGCTATACCGGATACCTAATTACACCCATTATGACTTCCCAAGTACAGGCACGATTACGTATGTGCTGTCCAACAGAACAGAATTAGAAGTAACCTCATGAATTTCAACACTTGGCCCCAAAAGAGAAAAGAAATGAGAAAGATGACAACACATACCAAAGAAACAATTAACCATTAAGAAGTCAGACCTTGAGACGTCAAGAAGAGTCCCTTCCCTAATTTTAGGTTCATAAGGTACATAAAAGAACTCCATGAACTTTAGCACCTGAACTAAAGTGAACAAGCATCAAATGCAGTGATGACTGAAGAGAATTGATGAACAATCTCGAAAAACTAGCAAGGCTATAGCTTGGAAAGCAAGAGACTCTGGAAGTCCAATGAAAGGAATATTTAAATGTTTGCATAGACTCACTAACCCCATTAATCCTGACCTATTTGTTCATAGTAGCAGATGTTTTCACAGCATCAAGCCAATCATTTCTCATAATCTAATTCTCAAATTAGACATCTCAATCAAACAAACAAGTAAAATTTTTATTTAGTTATAGAACTAAGTCTCATCTCAATCAAACAAACAAGTAAAAGTTGTATTTAGACAGAGAACTAAGTCATGATTCCAAACTTCCGAAGAATGCAGAGAATGTAACTAAATCAAAATAAAAATGCCTCACCCCCACCCCCCTGACTGAGAAAGAAGTGAAGAAATTTTAAAGAAGAGTAACAAATAGAACCACTGACATTACAAAAAATACAACCACCTAAAGAGTCTTATTTACCAAAAGAAGAATGCAAGAAAAAGAAAGAGACTTACATAAGATAGCCCACCACATGACTTTAATAACTCAATCATTCCATGTCTTTTTGCTCCTTCAGCATCAGCTAGAGGCTGTCATTACCAATACAAAGGCCAGAAAAAAAAAGGGCAATGAGTAAAGACTAGGAGACTTCATCACAAATTAAGGTTCACAACATAGAAAGAGAAAAAAAATATAAGGAGAAGATAGTGCATGATCTCTTAGGTTGTATATGGGGTGGAGGGTGGAGCACTGCAAGGGCACTTGGATTTATCTCCACCAAGGAACTCTCTATTCACAGCACATGCGCATAGAATAGAAGACTGATAATGCAAAACTTGAGATCACAGTATTGGCAATTTACAAGTCCAAAGGTAAGCTTACCAAACAGAAGGTAATACTCTAGTTTAAATATCTTCCAAAAAAAATTTTATCCTAATATTTATTGAAACTGTTATATGTATAATAATGATTATATAACATTTGACTATTAGAAAGTAATCTCTTACTATGCCCACTTTCCCAAGTTGATGAAAATACACATTCTCGTAGTAGTGAAATGTATATAGAAGCTATGTGAATATCTGGGGATAGTTTTCAAGTCAATTAAATCCATCTAAAATTACTGTAAGAAAAAATAGCAACTCGTCTCAAAGCTAACATATAAATGGAGGGTATCTTTTAATTCCAAAACTTTCTATTTATATTAATATCATTATCATATCTGCACAAGTTGATATCAAGAAATCTTCCAAATTGTCGTTTTTTCAGGGTCCTAAGCACTTTTTTTGGTATTTTCTTTTTTTAAAAAATAAATAAATAGCATTTCAATTTGATTTATTTATTTTTATTACTATTATTTTAGTTCTAATTCATCACCGAAGCAAATGACGAATGAAGAAGCAGAACCAACAGCAATAAGGTCCAGACTGAACTTTGATATTGGTGCCGTTATGGGTATAATGATGGATGTCCGAGACCAAGTCACTATTATTTCTTTTTCAGCTTTTCTATTGAACTTATAAATTTAAACCCGACTTTTTACCTATTAATGTACCTATCTGATTTGGGCTCAAAAACAAAAAGCTGGGACATTGAGCTGTGTGACCTGGGGCAATGTAATTGGAAATCCAGTTTCCATACTATTGTTAATATAAGAGAGGACCAAAGAACGCCATTTTCAATCATTGGTTCATGGCCCATAATGGGAACCACTATGTATTCAGTTTTGACTATGTCATCTGATTTTTGGTTTTGAGGCTCTAAGGTCAATTCTTAATTGAGGTAAATACATCGTCGCTTAGATCAATATTGTATTTTTTTATTGTTCTGTGATCCAGGACTAGCACTTTAGACTACCATAGCCATATAAGGACGAGGTTCAAGCTAGGTAAGGCTTATAGTAGATTAGGCCTATGATGCTCGGACTCGGGTATGGGTACGTATCTAGGTGTCGGATATTTTATTTTCTAAAATGTAGGATACGGGGACATGATTAAAAAGAGTCCAATTTTTGGACATGGGTACGTGGATACGTCTTTCAAACTTCAATTTTTTCACTAATTCAAGATATCATTTTGAATAAATCAAAATCAATTATTCACAAAGAAGGAAATGAGTACTGAATAAGGAATTGAGACGAAGAAAATAGAATTTTGGGGTTTAATTTTCAATTATGGACATTATTAAATGTTATATAAAATAGCAAATAATGGACTTGATTATAATTTGGATTTAGTGAAGAACTAAGTAGAAACGGGAAAGAAAAAAAAGAAAGAAGAAGCATTAGAAACAACGAAGTGTCCGATTGAAACTTGGAAGATCCGACACATATCTCATACCCATACCCATGTCGTGTTGGACACAGGTACTCCAACTATTTCGAAGAGTCCGAGCATCGGAGGATTAGGCACTATATGATTAATGCTCAACCGTTAAATTATGTCCTCTTTCATCAACCATAATTCATAAATTAATCTACTCATAATTTTGGGCATCCTACAAAAAAACTACAAATAAAGATTTTGAGACCTCATCTAAGTTACCTCCTACCAAATGGGAATGACAGTCCTTGTATAGCATGCACATATTTATTATTGTGTGCCCGTGGCAAATCACACAGGCAGCCCAGAGATGATGATTAGCTTTCATAGGCCATACACTACTGGATATTTAAAGACAGTATCCACATGACATTATATAAACTCCAATTTTCTTTATATCTCTTAATACTTCAAGAACTTTTTAATAGCTCGGGCTCATGCAGAAAAAAATCCAACGATCATTTTCAATCATCTCCTAGTTCTGTTAACAAATGTTAACGAATGTGAAAAATTATAGGAAACCATACCATCCCGCATAATTCACCAAATGGGGATACATACGCAAGAGATGGAGACAGACAAATATCAATGTAATCAATTCGCGTGAATTGCTCAAAATTACCTATAGGATAATAAGCGACAATTCCCAAAAATAAATAAATAAATAAATCAGAACCGCATTTCAGATGGAAAAATGTACAAATTAAGTACGCGAACAACACACACAAGTACAACAAACTAAGAATAGCAGAACTCCAGGGTAACCAAAAAAAGGGTGAATCTGAATGAGAAGGAGTGCTAAATACTTTATAGTTGCAATCCAACCTATCAAATTTTCAAACAATTTAATTTAATCATCACTTATATAGCCACAAATCGACAATTATACACATGTAAGTATATAATATAATATATATGATGAAGAAATTACGGTGTTTTTCCAGCGATCTTGTGCGTTCACATCAGCGTCATACTCAATGAGGCAGTTGGCGACGTCGACCCAGCCGTGGAGTGCCGCCACATGAAGCGGAGTGCGGCTGTCATAGTCTCTGGCTTGTACCAGAGATCGATCCTCCTCAAGGAGCTTTCTCACCGCCGCGGCATCATTCTGGTGCGCGTGCCACAGGATTAGAGAAGTTCGGCTCACCCGCGCCTTCTCCTTCTTCTTCCCCTTATCCGCGGAGGATGGCGGATGCCCTTCCCCTCCGGCACCGCTCGCCGCCGATTTCCCTGAGCTCCCCTCGCTGCCGCTCATTGAATGGATTAATCGGATCCGAATTTCTAAATGCCTCTCTGGCCGTTTGCTTTGACACGCGCGCGTGTTTTAATTAGCAACTGAAAAACTGTGAATATATTTAGGTGTAAAAAATGGAAAAGCCAAAAATAAAATAATTAAACAACTGTTCAACTATATATACACAAAGCTTAGGATTTATAGCATGTGTTCTAGTGTTTATAAACTCCGTCCAATTTATATGAATTGATTTTATTTTTGACACGGATTAAAAAAATTTATTTAATATTATTTAAAAAGTAATTTTTGTTAAAAAATTTTCTAATTTATCCTTATTTATATTTGTACAATTTCAAAATTAAATGAAGAAAATTGATTATAGATACGTAAATTAAATAAGAATATATTAGAAAACGAACAAAAATAAAATATTCTCAATAAAAAAATATAAATATATAATTAGAACAAAAAATAAGAAAAGTTAGCTTATATAAATAGGATGAACGGTATAATAAATTACGAGTGTCGAGCGAATAGAAACAAAAATTTTCATTTTTTCTATTTAGACATACTTTTTTATAATTAGACAAAGTTTGGATAAGTGGAGATGATTATGGTAAATATAATTATTATTTCCAAAAGTGGACATATTTGATAATGATTGACTAATTCATCATCAATGCTGAATGGATTCAAACGTTGAATTCTTGGGGTAATTATGATCAATAAGACCAATTCAATTGTACGTCTAGTACAACATTTATAAGCTTCACTTTAAATAAGACTAAACAATTTAATTTATAATTACAATAATAATTCAATCAACTACAAAAGAACCCTAATTCAATTTGGATACTCAATTGACATACCAAGATCGAGCAAAGCATGATTATAAGCATAATAAATCCCAAACGTTACTCAAAGGTCAAGGATGACTTGAGTTCGAGCATATTAATCAACCCTATGGTGCACGTTGTTAAATGCATATCCTCAAGTTCCTTAATATTGTGTCTAATATGAACTCGAGGCTCGACATGTGTCACAAAAGGTAAGAGGCAATCGTTGTCCAACTTGAAAGTAAAAGGATATAATATGGTTAGATTCTTGCCACTTGATAAAGAAAAATACATGTCACGCTTTTGCATCCCTAATAGATTTTGTCATTTAATAGAGAAATGCATCTCCACATCTATAACGAATTTCATCATCTAGTGGACATAGGCACACAGCTGTAGATTGGAAGCGCACACAAGTATTTGCTTCTTCTTCCACTTTTACTTGTAATACACATTGCATCATTCATATGTTTTCTCCTCAATTCATATAAAGAGATTACACATTTCTTTATGTACTAAAGTTACTGTGGATATCATTTTTGTTAGCACTAAAAAACTCAAGTATTATTATTCTTTCAAGAAGTAGATTCAAAATTAAAATAAAATAGCAAAAGAACGAGATGAAAAATAAGATGGATAGATACATAATATAATAAAGAGAAGGAGAAAGTCATACAATTTTTTCAAACAAGAAGAAGAAGAGAGAAACATTAAGCCTAAAATAAGTATTGTAAAAGCACGATATTATGACATGTGATTATTATAGTGGTTCCTTCTGCTCCTAAAAATGTCATTTAGGCCAAAATATCAAATGATAGTTTAAATAATAATTATCTTGAAAAATATAAAAATAAAATAAAAACAATGTAAATTCTATTTATTTAATGTTATGCAATGTATTTTATCTATCTTAGCCCCTATTTGCTGTCCATTATTTGAAAAGTTAAAGAATTTTGAATAATATTTTTTAGAAAATGTGTGGTTAAAAAGTAAAGAAATTTTATTTGTTTGTGTATAAAATATTTTATTGTATGAATATGTGATTTAGAATGATATTGTAGCAAACAATTTAAGGGCTTGTTTGAGCCACATTATTTTTAAAAAATATATATTTTTCAATAGTGATTTGACATAATTTAAACCACACATTCTTCAATAAAATAATATTACACATAAATTTAAAATTTTTTTTATTTTTAATCACACATTTTTCATTAATTTGACATGAATAATGTATTTTTTCTTAAAATGTGGCTCAAGCATGGACTAAAATTTTAAAAAGTGCAAGAGAGGGACTTAACTAGAAATAATAATTATTATTGCGGACAAGTTGTACTTCTCAATTTCCATAGTCAATTTAATGCTGAGGTGTGCCACTTTACAAGTCTTTCTCTCGATGACTTATCATGTGAATCCTTCACGCAAAAAGCCAAAAATTGGCTTTGCTTCTTGAACAAGATTCAAAACGGGAAATTGATCTTGTTGAAGTGGTCCAACAACTTACAACGAAAAGAAAATCCCAAAATGTGAGCACTATGCCTCTGAATGTCAAAGTCAACTCTACAATTTTGCTGCTTTCATATTTGTGTAACAAGAATGTTCAATTTTTTGAGAACTCCCTTATTAGTGCGTGTTTGATAGAGATTTTGATAATTGATTTTTTGACTGTTAAATATAAAGTGGGTCATTTCTGTTAAAGAAGAAATAAAAAATGACGGCTGAAATAGTAAAATTACGATCAAAAAATTGATTTTAATTTACTTAAAATTCGTACCAAACAAGCACTTAGTCTTTAATAAAAATTCTTTATTTTTCATACTCATTTTTCATTGAAAAATGCTATTTAACCTCATCGAGGTTTTAACTCCAGTTTATGTGGCACTATTGTGACATTAAACAATAAGTACAATCAAATGAGTAATTTAATTCCATTTTTTATCTAGCATGTCACCTAACATAACAGATATTGGAGTTATTTCTAGTGGAGTCAAATAGCATTACTATTTTTCACTAACATTCACACAATAAAATGTTTTGTGCGTAAACTCAAAATTTTTCATACTTTTAACCACACATTCTTTAAAAAAATTGGTATTTTAAACATCATATTCCCCAATTTATCTTTATAATGGTCATCAAACAAACAAGGGTTTAATCCCAAATCCCAATTGCTGCAACTTTTCATGTAAAATAGTATGGACTCAATGGATATAGCAGACATGATGAATTTATGTTTAGTATATTGGATTGAATACGAATAAAACAAAACTAAAAAATAACATAAATATCTAATTCAACGCACAGCATAGTACCAAGTCCAATTAAGATAACTCAAATATGTCATAGGCGTAATGTTTCACGTATTCAAGGGCCAACTTTTCTCTAAGGCTCAAATGAAAGACAAGTCAAACCACTTTGATTTGACGTCATACAATTTTTTCAAACAAGAAGAAGAAGAGAGAAACATTAAGCCTAAAATAAGTATTGTAAAAGCACGATATTATGACATGTGATTATTATAGTGGTTCCTTCTGCTCCTAAAAATGTCATTTAGGCCAAAATATCAAATGATAGTTTAAATAATAATAATCTTGAAAAATATAAAAATAAAATAAAAACAATGTAAATTCTATTTATTTAATGTTATGCAATGTATTTTATCTATCTTAGCCAAGTCATACAATTTTTTCAAACAAGAAGAAGAAGAGAGAAACATTAAGCCTAAAATAAGTATTGTAAAAGCACGATATTATGACATGTGATCATTATAGTGGTTTCTTCTGCTCCTAAAAATGTCATTTAGGCCAAAATATCAAATGATAGTTTAAATAATAATTATCTTGAAAAATATAAAAATAAAATAAAAACAATGTAAATTCTATTTATTTAATGTTATGCAATGTATTTTATCTATCTTAGCCCCTATTTGCTGTCCATTATTTGAAAAGTTAAAGAATTTTGAATAATATTTTTTAGAAAATGTGTGGTTAAAAAGTAAAGAAATTTTATTTGTTTGTGTATAAAATATTTTATTGTATGAATATGTGATTTAGAATGATATTGTAGCAAACAATTTAAGGGCTTGTTTGAGCCACATTATTTTTAAAAAATATATATTTTTCAATAGTGATTTGACATAATTTAAACCACACATTCTTCAATAAAATAATATTACACATAAATTTAAAATTTTTTTTATTTTTAATCACACATTTTTCATTAATTTGACATGAATAATGTATTTTTTCTTAAAATGTGGCTCAAGCATGGACTAAAATTTTAAAAAGTGCAAGAGAGGGACTTAACTAGAAATAATAATTATTATTGCGGACAAGTTGTACTTCTCAATTTCCATAGTCAATTTAATGCTGAGGTGTGCCAATTTACAAGTCTTTCTCTCGATGACTTATCATGTGAATCCTTCACGCAAAAAGCCAAAAATTGGCTTTGCTTCTTGAACAAGATTCAAAACGGGAAATTGATCTTGTTGAAGTGGTCCAACAACTTACAACGAAAAGAAAATCCCAAAATGTGAGCACTATGCCTCTGAATGTCAAAGTCAACTCTACAATTTTGCTGCTTTCATATTTGTGTAACAAGAATGTTCAATTTTTTGAGAACTCCCTTATTAGTGCGTGTTTGATAGAGATTTTGATAATTGATTTTTTGACTGTTAAATATAAAGTGGGTCATTTCTGTTAAAGAAGAAATAAAAAATGACGGCTGAAATAGTAAAATTACGATCAAAAAATTGATTTTAATTTACTTAAAATTCGTACCAAACAAGCACTTAGTCTTTAATAAAAATTATTTATTTTTCGTACTCATTTTTCATTGAAAAATGCTATTTAACCTCATCGAGGTTTTAACTCCAGTTTATGTGGCACTATTGTGACATTAAACAATAAGTACAATCAAATGAGTAATTTAATTCCATTTTTTATCTAGCATGTCACCTAACATAACAGATATTGGAGTTATTTCTAGTGGAGTCAAATAGCATTACTATTTTTCACTAACATTCACACAATAAAATGTTTTGTGCGTAAACTCAAAATTTTTCATACTTTTAACCACACATTCTTTAAAAAAATTGGTATTTTAAACATCATATTCCCCAATTTATCTTTATAATGGTCATCAAACAAACAAGGGTTTAATCCCAAATCCCAATTGCTGCAACTTTTCATGTAAAATAGTATGGACTCAATGGATATAGCAGACATGATGAATTTATGTTTAGTATATTGGATTGAATACGAATAAAACAAAACTAAAAAATAACATAAATATCT